CCTCCAGACAGGGGACCCTTCAGAACCTACCCGGTTTGTAAAGGAACGACAGTTTAATACTTGAGTCATTTTTCCCAATTATCACTTAACGCGCAAGATTTCACAAGAAAATAATTTTGTAGCATTTGTAGACATTAATAACATTTTTGCAAATATACTCCAAAATTATTTTCTTGTTTTAATTAATAATTTTCTACTGTTTTCATTGGTTCAGCCCTAAATGACATGTCTTCCAAATATTTGAGAAGTTACGGTTTTATCATTATCCTAGCTTCTGAAATCTTGCGAAGTGATAATTGGGAAAAATGACTCAAGTATGAAAACTGTCGTTCCTTTACAAACCCAAAGTTTCCGGAACTTTTTTTTTGTATGATTTGTTTAAAAAGGAACCTACCTACATAATTATTACCTAGTTTTGATCACCTGACTCATTTTAACTTTAAAAAATAACCAGAAACAATAAGTTTAAAACAAGGGGCTTAACTGTGATGTAAGGCCTTAAATGTCCCTGGGCTTTACCCTGCAGTTTACGCTCTCTGATCATATGTGAGCAGATTAGGCTTGACTGAGTAAAATACTTTCAATCACAATCTTCAGTGGTTGTTATGTGAATAGTGTTGCTTTGTGGTTCAAGGCTGCTCTCACACTGCGCACGAAGAAATTTACCCACAAAAGGTGCGTTTTCTCTAAGGATGCAGCACTGAATGACAGGGTCTTTAAAACACACAGCCTCATGATTGTCACCATAATTTTGATTTTGACATTGTGACTTTCCACTCTGCCTGTGGTCCTTTCACCGAGGCTGAAGCTTGCATTCCGCTGGTAATCGCACCACACTAGATGAGTGTTTTTTCCGTATGCCAGTTTTTATCAAAGTAGGTCATAAATTCTGAGGTTTTCCCTAGAGCTGCAATGGTCAGCTCTTCTACAGGAACTTTTCACTAGTCCATTGTTCTGCGTCCCCAATGTCTCTTCTTAAGATTGCAAACTACTTCATTCTGTCCATCTGTGCTTCGTTTAGCACAATCACAGAGGCGCCGTGGGTGGTTCCAGTTTTGTGGTTGGAGACAGTTACCACAAAAAGGCCGTTTTCACCCTGGTGGGGTTCAAGGACATCCCTCCGTATAATTTCACCGGGGACCCGCCCCTCTTTGATCCGGCATGAAGTATTTCACAATGAAGGAATCGGACCACAAAATTCCATCCGTCCTTGATTTCGTTAAGGTCGCCGCCATCATTGTAGTGCCAGTTGATGCTTTCAATTTCAATTAGAATCTCGAGGGAGCGCCCTGCGTCAGCAAGATGTAGCTGATACCTAGTTTAAAAAAAAAAGAACAAGCAAGAAGACACATCAAAATGCCCTGGAGGAGAAAGAGAGAGAGAATTAGGGGAAGGGGAGGAAAAGGGACGCATGTAATGATTTAACTATTGTCGTTGCTGACTCTTTACAGTGAAAATACCGGTTTGTGGTGTTTCGTTTTATAAACAGACCAAAACTGGTTCGTGTAAGCAGCAATGGCACAATGTTTTAACGTGGCAAGAGCGAGGGGTCCCCCACTCGCCAACTCGTTGTACACGAGGAAAAATACTCGCATGATACTCGCGACAACTCCCGACAACTCGCGACAACTCGCGGAAAATTCGCGAAAACTCGCGAAAAAATCGACAAATACTCGTCTTATACTCGCGGATACTCGCCATTACTCGCATAAACTCGCCATTACTCGCATAAACTCGCGGATACTCGCTTATACTCTCGAATACTCGCGGACACTCACGCAACTCGTTGTACACCCACTTGGAGAGTGGAGGACCCCTCGGGCAAGAGTTGCCTATCTTGCAAATTTTGACGAGAAGATTGTTAGACTCGTCAGTAATCCATTAAATTTGCACAAAAGTCAAGGAATTTCGGATGAGAAACCAGTTTGACAAGTCCGTGTGCGTGCTCGTCAGCCACTGGCCCGGGCGCGGTGCAAAGCAGTACCTTCTTTTAACAGGCCTGGCGGCCTGAATGAGTGTTGCCAGCGGCTTGGCTCTCGAAACCCGAAAAGATGAAGGTTATGCCCTTCTGTGACCGTGGTGGCGACCGTCGGATTCCAACCCACTTTGTCGCTACAGGGGCGTAAACTTAGGGGATGGTTTTGAGCAAATTCACACATTTTTGGCTGCTGCGCGAAAACGAAAAGTCCTAACGCGTTTCAATTTTGATCAGAGGTGCATTTCATGACCCCCTAAGCTGCTGTAAAGCAGATTTGCCACCGCTCCCCCCTGAAGGGCGTAAGTGTCACAGGGGTGGTCACTTTTTGAAAATCGTCGCGTTTTCCACCGGGGACTTTCTCAGTGCGCCCTACACATTCTCAACTTCCAGACTTTTCCAGGCCTCCTTAGTGTGAAAAATGGGGAAATTTCAGTTAGGGGTTGGACAGTTAGGGGTAGTACAGCCCTCCAGTGGTTGTGAAAGTGAAACGGGCACTTCGCTGTCGTTGCCCACGCCAAACCACAAGATTTCCCGTAGCGTACGAGATTTCAAAAAAACCACCCCTTTGAGGGGGTAGGGGTAACTGGGGGTAGGGGGTGGTTTGTCGGAGGGGGTGGAACGGGCCAAAAACCTTCAGATTGGTTCCTAGGACACCCGTACACCAAATTTTACCCACTTCCGGCACCCCCTTCTACCCTTACCTTTTACGGTTTTTTTTTCGACTTTTCCGCCCCCATGATCATTAGGGGATGCGTACGGCGTGAGGGGTGTCGCACGACATTCGCGCTCGAGGATGTTAAACTACACACATGGATGCATGTCTATGTCGCAAATCTCGACTTCCTAGGCGCTCGGGGAGATATTTTAATCCAGGCGTAAAAAAGTGGCCCGCTAAAGGTTTTGACGAGTGTAGTTTGCCACTGCATCATCTTGCATGCTGGCCGTTTTAAGTTTTGAGGAATTCTTCACGATGTTCTGGTGTTTCCAGCCAGAAAAACTCATTGGCAGGCTGGCCCATGCAGTTTTCAACGAAACCAATTATTTTTTAGACGTATCCGGCTAGGGTCTGCACGGCCCTTTCCTTGTTTGTGGCGTTCGTTACTGCCAGCTTTGCAGATTTGAAAAGCTTGTATCATTTGTGTGTAGCTGCACACTTCAGGTCCTTTAACTTTCTTGTGCTTGGCGTCCGAAGCCTGCAAAAAGGAGGGCAGAAATAAATTAATGAAACAGTAATCGAAAAAAGGGTTATGATTCAAAGACAGTTCAAATGATGAAGACTTATGGTCTCCTGCTTTTCTTTAACACCATCTTCGTCTTTGTCTTCACCTTCGGATTCGCTGTCTGATTCAATCTTTTTCTGAAAAACAAAAATAAGTAAAAAGATGTCTGCTCTGAGATTCTACCTGTTAAAGCAAGTAAAGATATTTTGTAAACTTACTGTCACCACACCACTCATTATATGATCCAAGAACATTTTTAAGGGGGCAGACCTGTGAAATACAAGGGTTTAGGAGATATCTTATTTTTAAAAAACTACGAGTCGCAGCGTTATAAACAAAAGACCCTTTTCATAAGAATGAATTGTGCTACAATTTGGCGTATGCACATACTGAGCACACCTTCGTGAACCCGATCTTCTTTGCCTCGAAGTGGACGGTCGCACCTTGTCGTGGCGTGTGGCGTGCACGATTTGGACCGAATGGATGGACCTGCGACACCGACAAAAAATGTTATTTACTCTTAAGAGATGCGGCTATCGCATGACGAGACCGATTTAACCCTTAAACCGGCAACCATGGAAATAACCTTTAAAAAAATTATTTTTTGCGACTTCCTCACTATTTAGGCATCAAATAATACGATTTTATCGATTTTAGTGTTTGGTCGCGTCCGAAAGTGCTTTTTCTGAGTTGATGTCCAGGGACATCACTGCCGTGTAGTCGAATAACCTCCCAAATGTAAACGGGCTTCCTGCCGGAGGTTTTAGGGGTATGTTTTCCTTCGCAGTGCGGGTGAGAATGCGGAGTTAGTTGAAGGCAACCCTAAGTCATTATTATATCCGTTTTATAATCAGACAAAGTGTCGACAAAAAGCTAAATTTCACAATTTCCTCAATATTTTGGAAAATACTTCATGTTCCCTAAAAATATTTTTTGTGGTAAACAAAACACATTGGTTTGAAGGTGAAACACGCTCAGTCAGGCATTTTGGATGAAAACCCACTTGATAAAATAGAATTTCCTGGCCCGGCAGTGATGTCCTGGGAAATCAACTATTCCACGGCATTATTGAGTTAGGCAACATTGAAAATACACTAAAATATTGATTGATCAGCATTCTCAAAGGCTCATTCGAGCTTGGAATATTTTTTTCGAACTGTTTTAGTCACTAACCTTGCCGCGGCACACCTCTAAACCTCGCCGAGAGCTCACAGCCGCCAAGCCGGAGCGTCGTGACGGTCTTTGTTTACACACACACACAGCGGCCGAATCGATCTATTCGATACCTCGAGAGTCAACTCAGGAGCGTTAAATCTATCGATCTGCGTCGCGTAAAAGGCGCTATCATAAAATTTAGCCTCTCGGGAATGAACGAAAGTAGTTGATGTCCGTGGACATCACTGCGGGATAAAGGAAAAATGTCAAAGTTCTGGTTTAAAAAATTAGGTCAAAATTTGAACACATTTTGCCCATTTTCGGTAATTAAGAAGTGAAATGTCGAAAAACGCTCTCGTCACGCGATAGCCGCATCTCTTAAGAGTAAGTGACTATTTTTGTCACTGTCCCGAGGGGTCCACCACTCCTAAAAAATTCGTACAGTGATTGCAATCAAAACTGATTGCAAATGATTGTGATGATTGCAAAATGATTGAAAGATTGTAAAATGATTGAAAGATTGTAAAATGGTTGAAAGATTTCAAAACAATTTAATGATTGTAAAGTGATTGAAAGGGATTTAAAGTGATTGGAATTGATTCAAAATGATTGGAATTGATTCAAAATGGTTGGAATTGATTCATTATGATTTAAATTGATTCAAAATGATTTGAATTGAGGTAAAAATGATTTAAAACGACTAAGGGCTCAACCCGTGTAACGCATTATTCAGGATTTGTGTGATTTAATGTGGTTGAAAGTGATGATTGAACGTGATGATTGATAGGAATATCAACTTTTTAAATTGATTCAAAATGATTGTAAATGATTCATAGTGATTTAAAGTGATTGGAAAATGATTTAAAGTGATTGGAAAGTGATTCAAAGTGATTGAAAATGATTCAAAATGATTGTAAATGATTCAAAAAGATTCAAAATGATTGGAAAGATTGAAAAGATTGTAATGATTGAAAGTTATTGTAAATGATTCGAAATGATTGGAAATGTGATTCTTTTGGAAAGTGTACAGCGATTCTTCCAAGTGGTGGACCCCTCGCACTGTCCCCTATTGGCGATTTTTCTGGACTTCAACATTGTCCTGCAACGTCAAAAAATTGTGTTAGTTTCCACAAAAATCATCAACATTCATAAGTCCCATCTGCTTTTTCTTGTTTCCCTTCGGTTCCCCCGTTTTTACTGCCTGTCACTGTATTAGGGTCGAAATTTCTATCAAAGTAGTCTTCGCAGTCTTCTAAAATGTTAAAGGAAAATAAATTTTATTTCAGTACCAATCGTGTGCTGCAGGACCTAATAAAGAAAAATACTAACCCTAGGTGTCTTCTCACCATAAAAACAAGCCCTGGGAATCCCAGGAGTTTTTGCCCTTTCCGAGGGGAGTTGGAAGAGTCCCCGGAGACTTCCTGGAAATGTCTAATTTTCCCAGTAGGTGCCCTCGGCATATCGCACTAATCAAATATATTTCAGGCAATTATTTTTACAATATTACTTTTAGTATGCAAACTTGCAGTATCGAGCAATAAATCTGAAGAGGCCACTGTTTTATTTCGACTAGACGGCCATTCATTGAAAAGAGGCAAACAATAGTGCAAGCCAAAAAATGGCGCGGTCGCAGTTTCTCGCTCTTAAACTTCGGTTTTCGGTTCTCGGGCGCAAACTCAACAAACCAAACGCCAACCTACGACGTACCTGCGCGAACAACTTGTAAACCGGGAGCGCACTAGAATTGTACGATTTATTTCGCGTAGGGGTGGAGTCCCTAAAAAGGAATACTTATTTTAAGATAGATATCCTAAGACTTGCTGCAGGGTCCATTTCGACCTATCGGCAGACCTTCGACCTCTCTGGAATGGAGGGGTCAAAGTTGTGTCTTTGAGGTGACGCTTTTTCACCCCTGCATCCTTGCGTAGGCCGTTTTGAAAAAAGACTCAAGCTCGCGCTAACGTGGAAGCAGATGATACGGCCTTATCGTTCTATGAATTTACGTTTCAGTCATTAACATGGTCAAAGTATTTCTAGGAATTAAAATTAACATTTAAAGTAGGTCCGGCTGATGACCACAATGTTTGTCATTGTGGACGGCGAGGAACGCTACCCATCTCAGCATGACCCAGCATTGTCACTAGCCACAATGACCACATTGTGGTACTGGGTCATGCTGGCTGGTGACCACAATGTGGTCATTGGTGACCACCGTCAACGCTGCTAATCTTACCCCGCTCCTCCCAGTAATAACAATACTTTAATAGGGCAATGGCCCAGTATTGTTGACAATACTAGGCCATGCAGGTTGGTGATCACAATGTGGTCATTGGTGACATTCGTTAACGCTACCCAGCTTATCCTGCTCCTCAGGGCAATGACGTCATTGGTGACTACCGTGAACGCGACCAATTAAGCTGTTGTACAAGCCGTGATACTGGATCTGCTAAAAATAGCCCACAAGGTGAAAAAGAGACTGCCCCCTCGAACAGGCCACAGAGCTCCCAGAGTAGGCGTGGCCGATCGCCAAGCCGAGCGAGAGGATGGAGAAAGGGGGGGGGGCGGAGCTGAGCGCATCGGTCGCCACACCACACACACATCCGAGTCCCTGCTGCCCTGTTCTAGATATGAAGCTACGAGAGGTGGTGGGGCACGTATTCTTCTTCTGATAGAGACAGTCTTGGGGACTGTCTAAAAGGGCGAATAGGTTCGTGCCCCAAATGAAAGGATACACCTTGTAGTTGATTTTGGTCGAGGTCGAAGTTCGTGCGACCAAGCGCCGCTGAGCTCACGGCACTTTTCGATGGGGCCGTTTTTGAGCGCGCCCATCTATCTTGGAGGGCCGGCCCTACACGATCGAGACGTCTGGCTGACCGGCGCCCAGGCAAACCAAACGGAGCTCGGACTACGACCAAAATTCATGTCGAGGTTCTTTGAAAAATGAGGATTAAACCTCGACAACTTTTTTTTCCGTGGATTAGGTTAGCAGCTTGTAAGGGTTGGGTTTGGGTTGTTTAGGGCACCTCAGTCTCACCCTTGGGTTCGGTTACCCCCCGAACCGAGCGAGGGGTCAACGGTTAGTTCCGTTACCGTGGCGGCTTTGATAGATCTATTGTACACAGTCCGACCCGCATAACAACTAAAACGCTCATCTTTTCCTGCGTTAACTAAGAAACAGTGTTTTTATGCTTTGTCAGCTTTTTACAGAAAGCGGGTCCACGACTCGCGCAATTTTAGACTACGTTGACTCCTCTTAAAAGTAGTTCATAGCAGAAGTCACCCAGAGCAAAGTTTCTAGGGCCCTCGGACCTTCGGGCCCAGCATGTTGACGACCGAGTATAAGTGGTTGAAGGCCTTCCCCGCGTTGGCGAGGCTGAGCCGGCCCAGTCCCTTGCAGGTCAGAGCTGGCTGCCTGCTGGAGGTCAGCATGGCCAGATGGAGGGCGCGGGCCTCCGACAGACTAACGGAGCCTCCAGAGGCGGCCTGGTAGGCGGCCGTCTGTAAGACCAGGCTAGCGTCCGAAAGCTCCTGGCTGAGGTGCGACAGCTGCAGGAAGACTATCACAACGCGAAGCAGTTGAGCGAATGTGAAGCTGGTCGTGTCGTTCGCCAACACCTGCACATTTTACAATACAGTGCACACCCAGAAAATGGTATCCTTAAACCAGGAAAAATTCTTTTAAAAACGTACAAGGGAATTTTGATCCTTGGTTTATGACGTGAGCCTTTTTTTTTGTTTTCAAGGAAATTTCAACGATATTTCCCTTATGCTAAGGAATATGTCTTGTGGTATCTAAAGGTAGCCTTCAAGGAAGGCATTAAGTTACGCCTTGCTTCAAGGAAACAATTTTCCTGGCTGCAGCTCCTAAGAGTCACTTGAAATACGCTGAATATACTATGGAGTAGATCCTTGACACTGGAACTGAGTTCTCCCAGGGCTCCGTAACTTATTCCTGCACTGCCTGTAATGTTATTTTGTGAGTTCAAGTTGTAGGTTGTAACATTTTCCCATTGGACAGAAGTTAATTATTCGGCATGCCAAACTCCTTGCCACAGCATGTATGATAAATATCGGACACATTTCAAAATCGATAACTTAAGGGGGCAGACCTGTGAATTGAAGGGTTTGGGAAAATAGTCACTACCTAAAAACTACATGCCGCATCAATTTCGGACTAAATGTGTATTAAGAGCATATATGGACGATAATTTTGCCGTTGGCGCCGGTGCGCGCACTCTCCAGGCACATGCCCATCTTTACCCCCAACTGGACGATGCAATCTGTTTGGTTTGCACGATTGTGCTGCAACGGATTGGTCTGCGACTGTCAACAGAATTGCTTCTAACTCTTAAAAGATGCAGCTAGTGGTTGACCTAGAGGTTATGCAAATTTTGAGATGGAAGTACTCGAAAAAATCATATAGCTGAAGTACGAAAAAAATTAAAAATTTGTTTCGTCCATTGTGATTTTTGTTTCGAGTACTTCCATTGCGAAATTTGCAAAACCCCCAGGTCAACCACTGAGCGCATCTTTTGGGAGTAATTAGCAATTTTTTTGACCGTTGCAGACCCATCCGTTGCGCCACAATCGTGCACACCGAGAAGGACTGCATCGTTCCATTTGAAGGCGAAGATCGGCATGTGCCTGAAGAGTGTGCGTACTGGCGCAGACGGCAAAATTAGCGTCCCTCTATGGTCTTAGTACATCTTTAATCCTAAATCGATGCGGCGTGTGGTTATTTGGTTGTGACGATTCTTGCCAACCCCTACATTTCATGTGTCTGCCCGTAGGTTATCGATTTTGAAATGTGTTTCGTTACGTTGAGTTTCTAATATTTGTTCGTGTTATGAAAACTTACCTAGCCCTGTAAATAAGTTTAATATTTGACATCCTGTTAAAATGAACGAGTATCTAATAGTCTTTAGCAATATTGTAATGTTACCCATGCATTACGGTGAAATGCCGGTAAATTACGGCAAATTACACTGTTGGGAATTTTCAAAACACTACGAAAAGCAGAGTTACCGCAAAAACGCCGATGAGACTGTGTGTATTCATTCGTTTGCGTTATGATAAGTTACGGAGGCCTGCGTTCCTCCTGCCCCGATTGCACCCCTTTACCGACACGTCGTGCCGTGTTTGGATCTCTCGTCGTACCTGAAGAATAGCGATAAGCGAATGACAGAAAGAGCTGACCAAGATGTGCCCCAAGTTGTCAGCACACAAATCTGTAAGGTCCACAGTTATATGGCGCAGCTGCTGGTGAACCTTGACGACGTCCCGGACCTTCTCCGGGCTCGTGGCCGTGTCGAGGCTCTGCGCCAGGCCGTGGTGCAGTCCGGTCGCAGTGGCGGTCACGCAGCCCAAGGAGGTCACCACAAAGCCGATGGGCACAGTGATCACGAAGACGCTTACTATGTAGCTCAGGCGAGCAATGTAAAAGCCCAAGGTCCCGGCGAGTGGAACGAACGGCCACGACGGAACCACGCGCTCAGGGTGCAGCACCGCACCAACCAGCGCGCTGCCAACGGTAGCCAGCCACAGCATCAGGTTCCCGGCAGCGAACCTTAAAATGCTTTTGCGCGTGCCAGCCACCCAAGCCTGTGCGATAAAAATGGTTAGAAACGAGCTGCTGTACAAGAAAAGGCCTCGTATCCTTGCCTTAACCTGCTCTCCCGGGGCGGCCTCCATTATTTGAACAAGGCTCTTCATGTCGTGCATCATGTTCCAGAAACGCTCTCGTCGCATCATCGCGAGAGATGCGAACGCGGAGTAGCAGGATCCCAGGATGGAAATTGGCCTCGTAGCAGTTTGCAAGGAAGAGGTCTGCTCCACCGCTGTGGCGATGGTTCCACTCGCGGGCAGTCCAAGGAAGAGCTGCGTCAGCTTGAGAGGACCGAACAGGATAGGTAACTTATGTAAAGGTTAATAGGGGACTTTGCCAAGTTCTCCATGGGCCGAGGTGCACGCAACTCAGAAATGTTGCATACGACCAGAATATATTTCAAGTTCAAATAATGAAACATATATACAATAATCATCGTTTGGGGCACCCTTCCCCCTAAAAGTGACTGCTTGGTTACAGGCAAAAGTGCTAATTTTCAAGCAAAATGTGCTTGGAAATTACCACATTTGCTTTGCAACCAAGCAGTCTTGGCGTGTTGAAGCCCCTTGCAAGGAATTAACTGGATTTGCCACTGGTTGCATTCAATTTTTAAGAAGGGTAGAGGATGCAGTGATTGTCCGCCGGGGTACAGTTATTGTCCCCCTTGAACTTCAAGGTCCCTGGTGGGTAAACGGTTGTTCCCAGGTAGACCGGACATAGTGCCATCTATAGGTCGTTCTTTTCACTTTTGAGTCGCGCAACCATCACCACGCCCGTCTCCCTGAGATGGGACCTACAGCCGGCGTCGCTTGGGACTACACAGTGACGCACGAGGCGAGTTTCTTAGCGTTTGGACTAAAAGCAGAGGGTTAGAATCTGGGTTAAGACCGTAAGCCAACGCATGTGTTCGAAAACTTCTTTGCAGATAGTTTGATGAAGGTTCATCGTTCCACATGGCAGAGGAGATAATGCAAGTATTTGACTGCAGCTTGCTTTAGGGGGCAGGGACAATCACTAGTTCCCGAAAAGCTAATGTGACAGTGATTGTCCCTTCGTCGAAAAAGAATGTTATTCGAACAGAATTTCACTCGTGTACGTCCTCTGTGGTCTCTCACACCCCATTACTACTCCCACTGCCACTGAACGAACATTTCAAGGTGTTCACGTCTCGCATAGAGACGATTTACAAGTTTCTCAAACTTTGACCTAAGAATCGCTTTCCAAATTGCGCTGAAAGCGCTATAGGCAGGCAACCCTTCGAAGGGCTGGCATACCGCGAGTTCATGTACAAGTATTCTATAGACACGCGGAAGAAACATGATATGGTCAGATCGGTGCCTCCAAACGGGCCTCCTTGTGCGGGCTGCTTCGCTTTAGCCCCGAATTGAACCAGCCCGCACGACCCCGCAAGGTAAATGGACCAGCCCGCACCACAAGGCTTTCTCAAAACTAAAATTTGGTTATAAATTCCAAATAAATTGCATTTTGGCCTTGACAGATCTCAAGAATGGTTTCCGTCGGTAAGATCTCGAGGCAAAAATGCAGTTTAATAGAAATATATAACCAAATTTTAGGTTTGAAAAAGCCTTGCGGGCTCGTGCGGGCTGGTTCACTCGGTTCACTTCGGGGCTGAAGCGAAGCAGCCCGCACGAAGAAGCCCGTTTGGAGGCACTGGGTCAGATACAGGCGCTTCGGCTCGTGAATGGCCAAGTACAGCACGTCAAAATTACTAAAACAGGCAATTTTAGGGCGTTTCCTGCCTTTTTTGCGTGCAGGGAGCCAGTAGAGCCACCCTAGCAGCCTACACCTGGCAAATCATAGATTTTGCAAAGCAGTAGAAGTGTTTGGAGCACGTTACGCACAGCAAAAAATCGCACTACTTTACTTGTTTAAATGTGTTGAATGAAAAGAACACCTTTTTGGTCCGGGGGTGGGGGTGGGGGGATGGATGGAAGCGGTTGTTTCAGAGAGGCAGATTATAGTCGTGTGGCCCGAATAGGCACCCAAAAAGACAACCAAAGAAATCTGCGTTGTATTACCACTTCTATCGACAAAAATGGCAGGGGACAATCACTGTATCAGTCCGGACAATAACTGTGCCAACGGGGTCAATCACTTCACTGTGACAATCGTACCCCAAATTCATGGGCTGTTTAAACCAATGAGAATTTAGAATTTCACTCACCAGCCACCGCATAGTCCGAGCCAAACCCTTACCTTGCCATTGCACGTAGCGAATTTTGAAAATTGTGATCAGCAGCTCGGTGGCACGCAGAATTATGCGCATGTGCGCTTAACAGGTCGATCACTATATCCTCTACCCTAGTTATCCTTGGTTACCCTGAAATTTCACATCTTTAGCTTGTATTGTCACAGACACACGACAGATATCAGACGCCAGAAGTTATGCATGAGCCCGTGAGCCTGCTTCATTGCTTTCTCGTATCAGAGAAGCAGAGTAAAAATTGCAGAAGTAAAAAAAGGTTGAAAATAGTGCCTTTCTACACAATACTCGTCAACTAAGTACGAGATAAATAATTAGTACTATGCAAATAAAGGATAAGGTAGCTGCTATTATGAGCAGTGATCAATTGATGAATAGATGCGAATATCGTAAATGCACTGTGTACCGCTAAATACTATTAGATACTCGCTTATTGTAGCAGGGTGTCACATATTAAACTTATTTAGAGGGCTAGGTAAGGTAAAGGTTCAAAATTGAGGGTTGTCCATTTCCAGTACTAACCTGCCTCTGAAAATCTTACTGATGTATTTACTTAGAAATGATATGGGCCAGAGTCAGAACTATAAATTTCTTCGTGCTAGATTAGGTCTCAGTTAAAATGTGATTGAATTCCTGGGACACTGTTTTGTGATGTTAAACTATTTAATTTGACAAAACAATGGAAATATGGACTAGTCAGCATCGTGGAGTCACGCTCTTCGGCAGCTGGGCATAGATAGGATCCACGCAGTTCGACTGCACAGTTAAAATAATATTTGATTTTTTGAGGGCAAATGGAAAACTTTGAGGAACCCCTTTGGTTTGAGAAAAGCCCCTCATATCGAGGAAGTCGAAGTCTCCTCAAAAAGATTTTTCTTATTTTGTGAGAAGATTCCCCGAAATTTACAGCGAGATCTGATGAGTTTTCCTGCTGGAATAAACATACGTGTTTCTCAAAGTTTTCACCTTTTCCTCAAAAATCATTATTACCATGTGCTAGGTCCGAGGTCCACGCAGTTCAGCCGGATCTAGCAGCCGAAATGCGTGCATGTTATTCAAAGGTGCCGTAGTCATTTGCTCTCGATCCTCACACAGCAATATGAATAGAGTAAGATGTGTCGAGCTTGACATTAAAAGAGGGGTACTGCTTTAGATATTAATATGTATTAAACTCTTCAGCCGCGTATACGTCTCCGCACCTTTGGCCTTTGGACCATGTGATGATGTGATGCTTCAGAGCGGGGTGCAGGGTCCATACTGCCGTGCAATAAAGAGGCGAAGTAAGACACTGCTTTTCACACAGCATTGTCACCTTGGCCCACCGCCTCGTGTGCGTATGAAATTTCAACAGCTTATCGCATGGGCCTTTAAGCTGCGTGACGTTGGTGGGTGCTGGGAGGCCATAACCCGTGAAGTCGGAAGTAACTAGTCAAGCTTTGCAAAGTAATTGACTCTTTATTGATAATCTGGTTTACAGAAAGGTTCGCACTGAAACAAGACAAAATTGTAGCGACCCTTACCGCGAGAGATGAAACAATGCTCCTACTGACATTTGTGTAATAATTTTGTTTTCAACATATGGTAACCCAAGACTAGTATTTGCCGAAATAGTCTGAACTGTTTTGTTTTATCAAGTCCTGTTTTGACTACTTACTTATGGCATTAGATTTCCTGTAGCCGTACTCGGTGGTTAGTTCTGTCGCTGGTGCCCTTTTTATTAGTGCATTTTGAACTTGCATTTCACTCCTATATAGCAGTCATAGTACTAGTTCTCTGAAATAAATGGAAAATTCTCCCGTAACCCTTACGAGTATTTGTCACACTGTAACTTAACATGCATTTATCTCCGGAACTGTTTGAGCTAGAGCACCTAGATTTTGCAGCCAGCATAACTCGGGACGTCCCCGAGGGGTGGATAACTCCCCTGCCAAGTGTACACCCCTAATTCTGCCCAATTCATCCTAATTCAGACCAATTCAATTTAATTCAAACTAATTCAAAACTAATTCAACTAATTCAGTCCAATTCAAGACTATGTTCAGTCAATTCAATTCAAGCCAATTCACGCTAATTCAGTAACATAAAATCGCAATAATTCAAACTAATTCAAAACCAATTCAACCAATTCAGTCCAATTCAAATTCAATTCAAGCCAATTCAAGCTAATTCAAATTCAATTCTTGAAATTTGTACACCCAATTCAGGAGTTATCCACCCCTCGGACGTCCCTCTCTTGCAGAAAATTTGCACGAAGTCAAATTCCGTCGCAATAAAGGGGTCCCTGACAGGTCGCTCGTCCCTTACTCAAAGAACGCACGGCGGAGCGCCTTTAGAGAAACCAAGAATCTTTGCGCGATGCTTGAGAAACCAAGTTACGTTGAGCAACTCTAGTGAAACCACGTTACGCATTTTTTGACGATTTTTGAGGAACAAAAGGGAGAGCGGGGTACCATGATCACTTATCAGTTTTAAGCCTTTCCTCCCCCATAGTATTGGATGGCAGCTGGATCATAGGCTCAGGTGGGGGGGCTATTTCTCTTAGATCGAACACACTTAGGAATTAATTTTTCCCAATCAAACCATTGCTGAACTGGGTATAAAATATTGGGACCCTGCCTTATGTTCATTGAGTACCATGATCAGTAGGTGGGGTACGATGATCATGCATTGCATATTTGTGTCCTAGAAAGACATCCAGAAAATCTGAAAAAACGTGTGGGCTCTGTCCCAGGCCGCGCCTGGAAAACAATATGCGTTCCCAGCTCCGCGCCTGGGAATCGTGTGGGTAGCGGCTCTTTCCCAGACTTCGCCTGGGTCACGTGTGAGCTAACAGCCGCAAACGTCAAAGCCTAATTATGTTCAAATCAAAATCTGGTGAGTGATTTGGAGTTGTTGACGTTGAAACTGACAACAAGTGCCAAAAACGACTTAGTGTCACTTTGAACGTCAACTCCTGGCATTTTGCCTCCGATCATTTGGGCTAATAGAACACGTTCGTTTTCTTTTGACGAACTGAATCCAAATCACTAACCAGGTTTTGATTTGAATATGATAAGTTTTGACGTTTGCATGATCATGTTACCCCGCAAAAAACTGCTCATCGTGCCCCAACAGGCAACGTTTTGGTCTAGAGAGACCTGAGTTAACCTCAAGTGTTCTGAAAAATCGCCTCTAGGCGTATTTCATAGTAAGGTTATAGAGGGCAGGGTAAACTTCGCTTGTACTGTTGGACTCAACATTCGGCTATATAAAAAAAAATATCCTAAACAAAAATTGTATGCTCGATTTACCTAAAATGCTCTCTTTAAATTTATAAAAACCTCCCCTCTGCGTCTTACGCGCCGTATGACTTCCAGCTCTAGATAAAAACATCCACTGGCACGCCCCCTATCAACGTCTTATTGGCTGGTCGGGGGCGGTGACATCATCGGCGCGTTAATTCAAAATGCTCATCGTGCCCCATGTTCATGGTACCCGCTCTCCCTAATGGTTTTCAAAAATCACCCAAAAATGGAGAAAAGTGGTTTCACTAAAGTCACGCAACGATACTTGGTTTCTCGAGCGTCGCGCAGAGATACTTGGTGTAGGCGCTGCGCCGTGCACTGTAAAAATCACTCTTGGATACAGAGTCTGTATACGGCGTTCCGTAGTATAGGAAGAGGGTTGGGAACCTATGGTACAGCGATCAAGGGGCAAATCACTTGCGAAAAGGTTCGTACACCTTCCCCCGAAATGCCGAAGGCGAAATAGAGCGAAATAGACGCGATATAGCCGGTAAAATAGTCGCGGAATACTCCTGAAATACTCCGAAATGCCGCGAAATACCCTGAAATAATCCGTAATAGGCAAGAAATAACTGCAATGGCAGGAGAAATACCAAGAAATAGCCCGTACGCTACGAACCCAAGTGATTTCCGCCTCGATGGAGACGCTGTGGGTTAAGGGTACGCGGGAGACAATTCGTTACATAGCGTCAACTTCGTTCCAAGATTGCCGCCAAACTGTAAGCGACACTGACATGCGGTTTTCCTGGATGATAGTTCTTACTGAAATCGACGTTCTCACGTCGAGAAATTTTAGACTTCGTTCGCCATTGGACCAATATTTGACCTCACCGTGTGGAATTTTGTCAATTTCGTTCCAAGATTGCCGCCAAACTATGAGTGATACTGGCATGCGGTTTTATCCAGCGGATAGTTCTCACTGAAAGCTACTTCCTCACGTCGAGATATTTTGGACATCGTTTGTCATTAGACCAATATTTGAGCTTAAAGTATGCCATTTTCTTCCCCCTTTTTAAACAGACCTGGGTAGCTTCCCATTAGACTAATTTGAAAACTCAAAACGTCAGGAAGTAAAGGAAGTTCAAAGAATGCTCTCGAATCAACCGTGTGTTGATTAGAAATTTAGTTTAGGGGTAATCATAGAACGAAAACGGCCGAAAATGGCCATCAAACCGCTCTACCCTGCGTTTTGGCAGGGGTGGGCCAGGCGGGCGAGGTTGGCGAGGCGGCCGGCTGTAACATATTTATGACAGGTGCACCGAGTGAGCGGACGTGCATTGTATGAGTGACTTTGTCTCCTCCTGCCGCGAGCATCCTTCCCTCTAGTAGTCGGGCGGGCGGGCGGCTAGCTGAGGTGGCGGGGAGAGGAGGTCGAGCACGCTGGACGGTCTGTGACACAATGGCGACGCGCTGGACGACAGCGCTTGACAGCTTAATCAATACTCCTGTAGTCGGAATTCTAGTGCAAACTCGATTTGTCTCCCGCGTATCCTTAAATAAACGGCATATTTCCGTATGGACGACCGAGGTAATTTTTACAGTGCGCGTGCTTTGAGTAAGCGACGAGTTACGAGTAGATGCGCTGTAATTCGAAGTGTGATACTTTTCACGCATTTTCGTGTGATAAAACGCCCCGTGTGATTCCCATGATTTATCACTTCTGGGAAAGGGGTCAATTTTTATCACAAATTTTATGTGGTGCCCATTGCAAAATAATGCGATGATTTCGGATTTCCTACAAAACGGTGTGAATGCACATCGCACAAAACTATGATACACAAAAGTATCGCTCAAATGAGTGATGGTTATCACAAATATAAGCAATGCATTAAATGTTGTACTTTTCCTGCGATGACCATCAGAACATCGTGCAATATTTCTGTATCACAGAAAACGTGTAGTCTGTATCACACTCTGATTTACAGTGTGGTCATTAGACGTCTAGGCATCTATCCATATATGTTAAAAATTTCTTGGGATTTCCCGAAGATTCACTTTCCACCACAATTAGAAATTCCCAGAGGACACCGTTCTTAGTTTTAGTGTACTAAAACAGATGTTGAAGGTGGAAGTTTTCGTTTGACAATATGTTTCAAAGCCAAACTCGACACGTGAAATCTATAGAGTTCTTTAGGAAATCCCAAAGGACTTTGGCGATACTTTTCACGAGTGTTCCTCCGTGAAATCCCAGGATTTTTTCTAACAGTGTAGATGTCTTTTCGAAATCTATGACACGTCTACTTTCTATGTGTTAGGGTTAAAGCTATTTCGCAGGGACTTAAAATTTTTCTGCACATAGTGATACCAGGACTAAGCCGCATTCTTCTAAAGTCTTTCAGAACAGCCTCTGACTTTGGCACTTGTGACCTAAGGTACTGTTGTGTCTCCGATGTCCTTTTCGTTTTCGATATTTTCCAGTTCACAGTCCAAAATTCCAATTGCTTCATGGGAGCGCATCGTCAAAGGAAAAAAAACCTGCAAGAGTAAAGAAAATGCAGGTCACTTAAGAATATGTTTAAAAACGCAGACCACGTATTTGATATTGAATATTCAGACATTTCGACTATACATACTCTCTTTGCCCACAACTCGGACGTTTATGGACATTTGCGTCGGATGACTTGTCCGTTACGAGACACAAATATTCATACCTTCTTTTATTGTCTAGCCTCTTACTAACCATCTTATGGGCAGCTATCTCATTTCGTATTTGATAAAAGGACAGTTCGACACCTTGAACTTATCCGCACGCGGTCAAGCCGAGCTGCTGGATACTTAAGCAGTCGATAGTGCGTTTCAATACCTAAGCAATTTTCGGATGTGATAGTATCCAACAGATCGTCATAAGACCGTGTGTTTCACTTTAAAGTATGAAGTTTTTCTTACATTATCAAAATTATTTCAACTCAGGCCAATTATCACTAAAAAAAATACACTAATAGTGTGTTCCAGGCTATCTAAATCGGAAGCTAACAATGTAGACGTACGCCAGACCACGTCTCGCGTAACAGGCTTCGCGAAATCTCACGAAACACTGTTGCGCTGCGCCGGGCATACATCTACCTTGGCCTGCGGCGATGACACCCGAGTCGGGTAGTGGACAAATGTACACAAAGGTGCGGGTCTACGGCCCGTCAACTGCCCTTCACGTCGACTATGCATGCAGGGTTGTACATTTTTTGCTTGTTTTTCATCAAAAATACCCTCTAGCGCCTAAATAGTTTGAGCTAGAGCAAAACGGAGAAAAGTTTCGTCTAAAAGACTCTATAGTTTGTTTACGAAATTTTAACACACCGGCAGGCCTTTTGACCCGAGGTCTCATTGTAAGCGTCATTACGATGCGTGAAGGCCTGCTGGCGGAGGGTCCCCGGCCCTCGTCGGGCCCAGTGATACTGCTGCCAAACATCTTCGCGTCTCTTTTATGGGGGCCCACTACCAGCGGGAGAGTGCGAAGTACAGCCTGGCAGCTCTAACCTAGCGATCCGACCCTTATGAGTGTGACCATACTGCTTACGATGCTTACGACGTCAACAAAGAATCAGGGAGTGATTGTCTCCAAGTCCTTTGCGTGCCGGTGTGTCAGAATTTCGTGAACCAACTATACTTTTACGAGTTACCTCCTGGGAGGAAACCACAAAAAAATATTTTCATAAAACGTCATCTTTGGGACCCGTTGTTTAAAAAAAAATATAAATCAAATTTTTCAGCTAGAATGCTCATCTTCGAACTCAACCTGTCTTTTAATGGTACAAAACGACCCTTAAAATCCCAGGTCGCTAGCTCAATCCGTTCTCGAGTTATCGTGCGGACAGACACACACATACACAGACACACAGAAAAAGTTTTTTCCGACCAGACGGAGTAATAGGCTTCGCTAATCGATCAGCCAAAGAGAACAAACTCACTAATTGGTCTGTTCCCGCCTGTCCAGTATGAGAAATTACCGTGGTTGTTTGGTCCGATTCTAGCCTCTCAAATATGGGGGGGGGGGGGTCCGAAACTGATCCGGCAGTTTTTCATAACAGAGAGGCTGCAGTGGCACCTGATCAGTTTGACCAGTCAGAGCCATTACGGAAATAGAAAAGTCAGTGTGTTTGTGTGTTTGTTCTTTTCCTACTTCCGGAAAGCCTGGAACACCCTATTAGGGCTTCAGAATCACCCGTATGTACGTCACTACACAAAGAGCCAGTCTTTGTAGACCAAGAAGAAGCTTTCTTTTACCAATAGCTGTGGAATCAGCGTGATTTTGGTCTTGTTCATTCATTCCTTGGGAGGTAAAGCTAGTTGCGCACTGACAGGAGCAGTTGTGCACTCGCTCTTCAAGGGCATTCGCTTAATCAAGGCGTGGTGTTTTAAGTGATTTGCAATTTTATAAATTCATCCGTCTTCAGTTAGACACCTACAATAATTTATCTTCAAGGGCCTCTTTGTCAAGTACGGTTCACAGTTCAAAAACAATCGCGCACTCAGTTTGCCCTCGAGTTATCGTGCATACAGACAGTCAAAGAAACGGAATGTAATTTTCTGCGATTTACCGTACCCTGCTCTTAAATATTCTGAGCACAAATCGCTGCAACGGCCCTTCTCCCAGGCACATCCAAGAGAGATATACGTAGAGTCGCATCCTCGAAGGAGCTGCACAGTGTGACGACTTCACCGCAGAACGCTGCCGCACATTGATCGGGAGGCCGCCCATTAATCACAGCAACGAAAAAAATCGAAGTTGGCACACTTTTGTATTATTAGTCACATAATCACCAGTAATGAGGCGTATTCTGCCTCCTCGATCTAGACCTCGTTGATGGGAATAATGGAGTCTATAAATGCGGTAGCGGAGTGGAGCTGAGGGGGTAATTAACATAGCACCATCAAACGAGACATTTTCCTAGTTCAACAGTTACAAATGAGTGTTCGACTTGCCCTGTCGCTACCTTTAACTGTTTGGCGCGAGAACAAGACAAATGGCTGAGCGAGAGCGAAGCCTATGACTCCTTGCGTGTGAGGAAGTTGCCCGATAAGAGGAACAAGAAGAAGGTAGCACTGAGGAGGTAGCGTGGCGCAACGCCGTCTCCAAACAAAGCGGAAGATGAGCGACAGTCTAGTAGAGGTTAGGGTGCGTGTCGTTAAATAAAGCAATCCGGTAAAGCTGAAATGCAGAAGAAGTCGGGGAAGAAGAAAACGGAAATCGCTATGCTTTAACACGGTAACTTCCATTTTCTTGTTCCTCGCATTCCTCTGCTGTTCCGCTTTACCGGAATGCTTTATTTGAAACAGTTTAGAACGGGCCTATGCATGTAGCACCTTGGTACACTAACAACGACAACGGGGCGGTTTTGAAGATTGTATAAACTTACTGTTGCGTTTGACACAAAATTGTTACGCCGGTCTAGTGAGGACCCAAGTTATCTTTACAAATAGACCATTCCACCGAGTGGGGAAGAAGAAAGAAAAGAATCAAAAAGTACCGGATCCAGTACCGAAAACCAGTATGTAGATCATTTGTAAACACCTCTGTGGCACACCAACAAGTCCAGAATAATTATCTTGGTCAAGAAAACTAGAAAAAGTGAACGATTTGATCTTTTTATTAATATTGTTTCCGGTGCTTTTTGATTCTTTTCTTTCTTCCACAGTCGGTGGAATGGTCTATTCTTCAAAACTTGATTTATTACCAGCTATGTGTACGCCAGACCACGTCTCGCGTAACAGGCTTCGCGATATCTCACGAAACACTGCTACGCTGCGACGCGCCTAGCGCACATATAGCTAGGCCTGCGGCGCTGACACCCGAAACAAACAAATGGTATAGGGGTACAGTGCCTTCCGGGCCCAAAATTTAACATACTCGAGCCGTTTGTCGGGGTCGTATAACTCTAAAATTAGGGACATGAAACTTGTGCTGTTTGATAACGGTTTTCATTTAACGTTCGAATTTTGACAGATTGTTGTGTAAAAATCAACGTTTTAGTGATACTAGATAATCTAGAGACCCGTAAGCCCAAAAGAGGGTGTGGTTCGACCCTTAATGTGTGGTTTAAGGATTGTTCCCTTTCCAATAGGGTATTCCGCGGCAAGCAAACCGGAATCTGAAGAAGGAAAGCATGACTGCTCCATCTGCTTCCCTCCGCGCGCTCATTGGCTGGCCGGCACACCAAGGTCATCGTTGACCAATCAGTGTTCAGGAGGAAACAGATCGGGCAGGCATGCTTTTCTTCTTTAGGTTCCGGTTGGCTTGCAGCGGAATACCCTATTCTGTGACATGCAGCCTTTTTTACGATTTATCAGACCATTTTGTCTTTTTCACGTTGTTTGCGCCAAGAAATGAGCCATAGCGCCAAAACGGTACAAGATAGAGCAAAACGGACGAAAGTGGAGTTATGGGCTTCGCTAATCGCTCAGCCAATCACACATTCACTTGCGACAAAACACAGTATGAGAATGGTCGCCGGCGTTCTGCTTTGTTTATGGACGGCGCCACGCCACCTCCTCAGTGCTAGCGGGCTTATGCCATCGCCCCCGTGTCTGTCTGTTTCCCAACGAGGACGCGAGCTAGAGGTCTGAATTTTTCAGGGTAAGATGGATGTTACTTCCGGACAACGTAACGGGTGGTGCAAATCCTGGCAACCACCCCTGAGTGGGTCTGAAATAGGGGTTGGTCCAAGAAGTGGGAAAACAATATTTTTGTATGGTCTCCTAAGAGGTAACTCGTAGAAGTAGAGTCCTCAGGACTAAATTTTCGTCCGTTTGACTCAATCTTTCACCGTTTAGGCACTGGAGGAAGTTTCTCACACAAAAGTGTCCCAAAATTAAAAATACTAGTTTTAGAAAATATTTGATGTTCTCCCTACGGGTAAATCATGTAAGTAGAGCTCCTTGGCTAAAATTTCGTCCATTTGGCTCCAGCTCTCACCGTTGAGACGTTAGAGGGAGTTTCTCTCACAAAAGTCGCCCAACAGTACATATATTATTTAGAGAAAATATTTGATGGTCTCCGAAGGGGTATACCGTGAAAGAAGAACCCTCTGGGCTAAAATGTCGTCCGTTTGGCTTTCACTGCTTACTCACAAAAAGGAGTTTTTCTTACCAAAATGGGCATAACAGAATTTTTTTTTTCAGGAGTGCACTTCTGTCTGAGAAGTATGCCGTCGGATCAAAAGCAGAAGAGTGGGAGAATAGGCTGAGCGATTAGCGAAGCCCATAACTCCACTGACCGAAAAAGTTTCATTCTGCTTGTGTGTGTGTGTGTGTGTGTGTGTTTGTCTGTCCGCACGATAACTCGAGAATTAACTGAGATAGCGATCTGGGAATTTCAGGGTCGTTTTGTATCTTAACAAGCAGGCCCGCCCTTCCGTCAAACGGAGTTGCCAGCTCCGCTTCGCTGCGCCGGCAACTCCGTTCGGCAGGGGCCGGGCCTGCTTGGCCTGCCGGCGGCGACACTCGGGCCTGCGGCCCGACCGTTTCATTTACGCAGTTTTCTAAAAAGCATAATCAAATAATGTAGCGGGCCTTCGGCCCTCAACTCGTCATCTAAGCACCTCGACTACAACCCACCCTTCTGCTTAGAAAACGTTTCTTGGGGGTGGGGGGAGAGTTTCCTTTCTACTTTGCGATTTTTAGGCTTTTTTCTACATCTTATTGTTCACTATGGCAATCTTAAGCTTATTTTCGTCTAAAAAGACCCTCTAGCGCGTAAACGGTTAGAGATAGAGCAAAACGGACGAAATTTTCGCCCATAGGGCTCTACTTTCACGAGGTACCCCTTACAAGATCATAACAAAACAAAAAAAATTCCAACTTTTTTGGCCTGTTTTCTTCGATTCCCCCTTTCAGCCCCTGAGGGTTGGCTGGCAGGATTTGCCGTAGGCGTTTGGTTTTGTGGGAGTGAACCTGGAGATCCCCTGAAAATTTGAAGTCTCTAGCACATCTCCTTCTTGTGGAACAGACAGACACACAGACACGAGGTCGTTTGCATAAGCCCGCTGGATAGCTTTTTCAAAGCAGAAGGGCGGGCTAAAAAGACACATCGAGTTCGAAGATGGCTTTGGGAGGCATTTCGTGGCAAAAATATAGTGAAAACGACTGAATGGGCTCATGTCGTATAAACGGCCGTATATTGAAAAGTTTCGCAGGACGTAATACTAAAACCAAACACTTGACGTCGAATCACACCCTCCTCTTGGCTCAAGGGTCCCTAGATTATCTAGTATCACTAAAACGTTGTTTTTACATAACAATCTGTCAAAATTCGAACCTTTAATGAAAAACCGTTACAGAACAGCAGAAGTTTCATGTTTCATGTCCTTAATTTTCGAGTAATCTCCTCCAACAAATGCTGTGAGTATGTCAAATTTTGGGGCCGGAAGGCCCTGTTCCCGAATACCCTTCTATTAACTCGTCTCGGGTGTCAGCGCCGCAGGCCTCGCGCGTCGCAGCGTAACAGTGTTTCGTGAGATATCGCGAAGCCTGTTACGCGAGACGTGGTCTGGCGTACATCTACCTAGTATATTATTGGCTGAGCGATCAGCGAAGCCTATTACTCTAATGAAGATCAAAAAGTTTCGAATCTGTCTGTGTGTTCGTTTTTCTGTCATCACGATAAATCGAGAACGGTTTGAGCTAGGAACATAAATAGACCATTCCGGTAAACCGAAAAGAAAGAAGAAGAGACGGAAGAAGCAAAGCGTTCTATGAGAAATGTACGGTGCGCCTTGGGACCGCTTGAACGTAATCCATCGTAAACTAGATATTCTGCGTCGCCTTAGAGTGAGAACTATTGTCATTAACTCTCAGACGAATTTCGACATCAGACAAGTCACGTTTAACCGTTTGATACGACCGTGGAACCGACGCACCACCGTATTTTTCTCATACTTGCCTTTGCTTCTTTCGTCTGTTCTTCTTTCTTTTCGCTTTACCGGAATGGTCTATTCTTTTATTGTGCCTATGTTTTTCTTTTCTTACCCTCAACCGAAATGGTCTACTTCATTTGTTTCAGTCAGAACGGGTTCCGGCGCATTTTTATTCTTTACTTTCTTCTTCTACATGCGGTGCGACGCTCAATAAAGCAGTAGAGCGCTAAAGACTGCATTAAACAAGAAAACCGACATCAGTCCGTTTTCGTCTTCCACGCATTCTTCAGCATAACAGTTTTACCGACTTGTTACGCGGCACGTCTACCTTTTTTTTTGACAAAGAAAAGCAGAAAATTCCAAAAGACCCTTTAGGTTTCGGTGACGAGAACAAGAAAATGAAAACTGAAACCTTTAACAGGCGCGGGGCGAATAGGGACGGAAGTTCGGGGGTTATTAGATGGCAGTAGGTTTGTTTTTCTTTTCTTCTAATCATCTAAACTGAAACGGTCTTTTTTTATCTGTTTGTTATAAAGTTTAAAAAAATAATCGTTTGTCTTTGTTTAAAGCCTCCCTAACTGACGTAGATTCTTAAATTGTCTTAATGAGTGAGCTTATTACACTGCAGCCGGATGTGGTACGGTGCACACCGTCTTCTCTCCTGGTGTCACTCTTTGCTGGAAGTGCCTTGTGACCGTCTAGGACACTGAAACGCTCGCCTGCCAACACCTGCAAGTGGGTGATTAAACTGCCCCTGCAGTATTGGGGTTTTTGCAGGAATGGCACTGTGTGGTGGAATCGTCAAGAACGTGACGGGGCCAGGCAATGTCGGAGCCGTTCATTAGACTCCACAGACGACCACGAATGGCGTTTCTTGCGAAATTCCTGGAGACACTCCCCTTCTCTCCCGTCTCGCGGTAAAGTTACTTTAACTTGAAAAGGTCATTCGTCCCCGCCATGGTGCATACGGCTGATTGCGGAGGATGTTGCGCCAGCTTCACGTCCTAGAGTGTCGCCCCGGACTGTAATGTGTACATATCCACAGCGAGTCTGCTTCGGGGCTCCTAACACTCAGGAAATTTGAATCTCCTACGAGGGTTACTGTCCGTAGCACAGAGTTTGCTGGTTATGATGCGACGGGCCGTGGTGGCATCCAAATCGTGACAGAGACGGACGTGCCAGCAAAGATCCGACGTAACCCGGAGCACAAACTCCTTCGGCGATCCATTTCCCCCCAAACCGATGAAGTGGCCCGGCCGGCTAGCGCCCTGATACCCAGAGAAGCACAGACTGCAGCTAGCTGCTCCAGGGTGCGAGTGAAGTCCTCCCTGGATGAAAGGGCTCGGCTCATTTCAGTAAAGATGGTGAGTAAAGCCCTGTCCCTCGTAGCGTTCTTCTCTAACACGCCGATGTCACCGACACTTAGGTGCTGCTCTTGAAGGTCTTCTCGGCCGCCGTACTTCCTGGTGACGTGGTCTGCAAAGCCCTGTGCCATCCGCAGATCTTTTGCAATGACGAATTTCTTACACTACTTCTGGCGCTTTTGTTGTTCTGCCCGGAGCGGGACAGGTTGTTGGCTGAGCGATTAGCGAAGCCTATTAATCCAGTGATAGGGTAGATGTACGCCAGACCACGTCTCGCGTAACAGGCTTCGCGATATCTCACGAAACACTGTTACGCTGCGACACGCCTGGCATGCATCTACCTTGGCCTGCGGCGCTTACACCCGAGTAGGGTAGAGCAAAAATGTTCAAAAGATACGGGCCTCCGGCTCAACGGCCCGTCACTTGGACTGAGCATGCAGGGTTGTACATTTTTTCGCTTTCGTCAAAAATACCCTCTAGCGCTTTAACGGTTGGAGCTAGAGTAAAACGGCTGAAAGTGTCGCCCATTGGGCTCTACTCTTACGAGTGACCCCCTAGGGAACCATAAAAGAAAAAGAAAAAAATTGTAATTTTTGGGATTTGTTAGTTTTGTTTTTTTTTAAATCCATTTTTCGAACCTGAGTGCTCATCTTCGAACTCGATCTGTCTTGTTATAACACAATACGACCCTGAAAATCCCAGGTCGCTGGCTCAATTCCTTTTCGAGTTATCGTGCGGACAGACGTGCAGACAGACAAACAGAAAAAGTTTTTTCCGACAAGACGGAGAATAGGCTTCGCTAATCGCTCAGCCAACCATCTGCTGCATGCATATCTCTGCTATCAGGAGGATACTTATTCGCTGCCATTTTTACTGATGTCGAATCATATTTGTGCTGCTTTATCTCCCCTGACACTATGTTATTAAGAGGGTCATCTGTGCAAACAGTTCTCCTTCCATGTACCTTCCATGCACGACCTTAACTTTGCAACGTCATGACTGCTCTTACACATGTTTCCCTGGACTCCTCCCACTGTACCTTGTTAGGGTTACCTAGGACGGTGTCTGGACGTTAAATAAGCCCAAAAACGTCACCATCAGGACAAGGAAGCCCATGATGCATGTTTGATAAGTCAACATTAACCCTCCAAGGTATGTCCATCTCAAAAAGTACATTATGAAAATATTTCCCCAGCTGTATATCTTCACTTATGCTTTCAAGGAGCATAGCAGACCTACCTCTGCAACCAAGGTCAAATGGCTCAGTTTCGTCTTGCATTATGTTTTTAGCCCGCTCTTTTGCTTAAAAGCTATATAAGCGGGCTTATG